CTTGTTTTCTATCCATCCTGTGGGAAAGACATCTTTTTAGACTGTCTTCTGTGGCATCCCCCACCCCACATAAATGAATTCAAGTTTCAGCCATGCAAGTGAACTTACAAGAGGGTACCTAAGGAAAGACTTTGCCAGAAGTTTCTTAATGATGGTAATGAACATTGCATGCAGAAATGCAAAATGACAAACATCTTTTTTTTTTAGATACATTTCCTTTTTTGGATAAATTTTGCATAACCCATATTTGCTAGAAAATCTTTCCAGCATCTTTATGTGTGTTTGGGTTTGACAAAATTCTTATGAATTCATTCAATTTGGAAAATGTAATTATCTTTTTGTCAGAAACAGTCCAAAGTCTTTCAAAACAGACACAAAAATATGCAGTTTCACTGGAAATAAAATGTCATTCATGTTTGACAGTACTGCAGAGGAGGACTTGGTCTGTGGACATTTTTCTGAATTAAGTTCACAAATTTGATTACTTCTGGCCAAGGAGTTGTTCACATGTTTGTATATCTTCTAGCCATGACAGAAATACAAGAGTTAAAATGGGATAGGGTTGCCAGATTCAACTTTTAATATAAAGCCAAGCAATAAAAAACAAATAAGTTTTAATATATTTTATCATTTTTTCACTTACAATTAAAGCTAGAGATATAGGCCTGTAAACTTTAAAAATAACATTATTTGTTCAAAGATGCATTTTCTATCCTAAAAAACACATCAAAAGCACGTTTTCTATTCTATTATTCTTCCTGTCTACATTTGCTTCTCAAACTTGTTATTTTTGGCAACAAATTAGACAAATGTAGTTCACACAGATACACATTGACATGAAGTATCTATTTTTTCAGCATGAACCCACCCACTGCTGAGATCAAAAGGACTTTTTACTTTTGAAATTGACATGTGAATAAAATTTCAATTGTTCAAATTTTAAAATAAATTAATAAATTCTTTGAGATTTTACTAAAATGTATTTTATGACTAAAATAATTTATTTTCCTTTCAACTACAAATTCAATGCGGGAATTAATTAATTTAGCTTTGATGCATACGTTTACTTTTCTGACACCTTTTATCTTTGCTTTTCCTCTTTTCTTGTTGAGTGATGATAGAATCTAGAAGACAAGCCTTCATATTCTTTCTTGTCACCTAGACAAGTAACTACAAGGTTATGAACTCAGTCTAATCAAGGAAACAATAATTGCCAAATATTACGGATGACTAAAAAAAAACAAAAAAAAAAAAAACATTTTATTTACAGGACAATTTGAGCTTGCAAAAAAGACAGATTCCTAGGATCTGGCATTTTGAATTTCACAAATTAAGAGAGATGTGTGGGCAGCCCAATTTAGAAAACCCCAAGACTTTGCAAGGAGCTTTTGGGTTATTGTTGTTTTTTCAATGATCGTGTAGAATTGGGTACTTTGTTCTGCCATAAAATCTCTTCTTTGCCACTAATATTCTGTATAAGTTTCAGAAAATGATACCATATTGAAATTTTTCAATATGAAATTTTCTTTATTTCAACCAATATGACTTACTCATACATATTGTGACACTATTTAGCTATAGTAATATAATTGGCTAACTAATTAACCATAGAAATTAAAAATAAAATCAAGTCACTTTCCCAAAGACCTGTAAATTGGCATAGACAGTAAACTTGGGGAAGTCATATGTGAGTTTGTTTTTGATAATTGATGTCTGTAAAGAAATGCTTGCTGAGAGAAACACGAGATTCAGAAAAAGCAAAGCATTGAGATATCGGGCAGGCCATATAGCTGTCATAAAATTTTCGGCATGAGATGATTTGCCAATACGGGGTAAAGAGAATCAATATTAACTATCTACCCAAGATATCATTTTTCTTGAGTGCTGGAAAGGTGGGGGACATATAGCAATATGGTGGTTATAAAAATTTCGGCATGAGATGTTTTGCCGATACGGGGTGGAGAGAATTGCTATTTACTTTTCCAAAGTGTTGTCTTCAGGCGCCGGCACATTGAATAGTAATATGGTGATTCTAAAATTTGGGGCATGAGAAGAGATATCGTGGAAGAATCAAGAAACCAAGGGTTCCAGTAAAAGCTAACTTCATGAAGGGACCAGATGACAGACTGACAAGTGATGGATGGAATTTGTAAAGGGTGCTGTTTAAGATGACTGAGTGACCAAAAGATCTGAGAGATTTTAAGTGGCAATGTGGGATTTGTAAAAAATTTGGGCCAATGAGAAAAAAATAATTTTGTAAACAATTATAATTTTAAGGAGGCCAGCTTAACCACACCCGCATGGCTGGGATGCCATTGGTTGAGTGGTGTCAATGGTGATAGGTGGAGGTAATTTGATGAGAAGGACAGGGAAGTTATTAACGCCCACTGAAGGGATCTGTGCGAGGTATCAATGTAAGAGAGTGGGAGTTTAGGAGGATAGCTCACGGATGAGGAGATCCCTACCAAAATGGAAAGTGATTAATTTTCCAAAAATGGAAAGTAATCAATTTTCCTGACCTGACAAAGAGATTCCTTGTCAGAAATTGAGATTTACTGAAAACCCCAGACTGTGTCTAACCCCGCACTGGTTTTTTGTTGGTACCCATATAAATGAACATCCTCGGTTCGTTCGACAGTCAGAGCTTGAGTGAGCAGTTTGAGTAGCAGGAACCAGAGTGTTGCCTCGCAGAAGCTGACCGAGAGATTCCATGACCTCTGATTTCGCCTATCCTACCAATAGCAAGTTGTACTAACAAATGAAGCCAAGCCAGCACCTAAAAACTAAAACATTTGACAAGATACCAAACTTGTTTAAGAGGTGTAGAAGTGTCGCACTGTAGAAAATGGGCTGGGAGAAAAACACTCCTGTATATAACAGACGGATAAAGTTACTTTGTTATTTTTTTAACATACTTGAACCCTTTGGGTTTTTATTTGATTCTTTTTCTTTACACTTGTGCGATATCACCTCCAGTCTAGACTCATCTTACACTATGGCCCGATGCCTGATTGATCTCGTCTACCTAAGATCAAAATCACAACATGAGTAGGGTAGATTTGACATCGAAGCAGTTACTTTGATAACCAGACGTCGAACGACGGAGCTGGTGTCGAACTGGTTGCAGCTAGTGCGAAGCCATTAGCATCGACCAAACATCCCACTCAGGCCAAAGGATTCTGCGGGGTAGCAACGACCAGGATTCAACCCTGGATGGGCCAGTGTCATGTATTGGTACCCTGACCAAGGAATTCTGCCGGGTAGTGACGACCACCAATCGGCCGGGACACAGGCTGGTGGCAGCAACTAAGCATCAACCCCAAAATGCCAGTGGGAGAAACATTACAGTTTCATGCCATGACTGGGAGTTGACCACAGGCCACCTGTGTCACACTAATTAAAAAACCCTGAATGGCCATTCTATTGTCAACAAAAACCAAAATTAGAGCAGTTTTCAGGTTTTGAGGCTGTAATGCCCAAAAAATGAAATCCAGTCCTAGATCCTCAAAATATGAAAAAATTCAATTTTGTTGATTTCACTGATATTGTATTGACCATTCCTTTCTAGAAAGCTCTTGGTGGCTTTCCTATCTTCAACCAAACCAAATTAGAGCAATTTTCGTGTTTTGGGACCGTTATGCCAAAATATGGAAACATGGTCAATTTCAAATTTTAAGTGCCATGCAATTTAACAGTGGTGCAAGTTCTATTCTCACAATGCAACTGACCCTCAACCCCACTCTTCTAGCACCTATAAAATAAGAGGGAATATTTTGCAAGTACACATAGAAGAGTACTGTCGGGTGTAAAATAAAAATATGGGTGCTTAGGGCTTGACAAGACCAGCCAATTGATCAGATCAGGTCTATTCAACTGCCTGCCAGACCAAGTAAGGCCCAAAGTGATGTGTTGCAAGTCAGTTACCACTCTGTTGCCAGATCATTGAGGGTTTTTACTCCTCTGCAGAAGTGTGGTCGGCGTATTCTACAGCCCCAGCCAACTGGGCAGAGTTATTTTCAGGTGATATTCATAGCTATTATCTAAAGAAATTTGTAAAAAAAAAAAAGAAAAAAAAAAAAAAAGAAAAAGAAAAGAAAAAAGAGTTGACTAATAAAATTAAATGATTGCATGAGCAAATTACAGAATTTAAATTTTAAGGACATTTTAGTAATTACTCAAATAACTAAAATTATATAAAATCCAGTTTCATAATTATTCCATCAGATAGATCCTTAAAGATTATTGTTAAACTTCTGAAATGAAAACAATGGTGCTTTTTTTCCTTTTATATTAATCTGCATAAGAACATTTTCAGATCATTATTGAATATTTATGTTGGTAGATAAGTCACCTCCAAAAATCTGACTAATAGCCCCCAAATATCTACAAACTCCATCTGCTATACTCTATTGTTAAAAGAGCTAAATCAAACCAATCAAAAAAATGCTGCCATACCTTTTCCCAGTTTTGTCGATGGTAATTTTCCTTGCTACAACCCCTTTCCCATAAATGCAATCCTATTTCATGGAAAACAGTCTGAAGAGCTACATTCCCTATTTCTACTAGTTCAGAACTTTACAGCTAAGACCTACCATACACACAGGGGCAAATCATCCTCATTGCCATTGTATTTCATTGGTAAATAGTAAATTCCAGTTGGACAGATTCTTCATGAGTTGCTGCTTTGTAGAACAGATTCCCAAGAGAATTAATTTCCTGACTACGATCAAACTCTTCAAGCAATCATTATCTATTCTACATATCTTTATAATCCACAATTCTTACATCCATAAAATGACCCCATTCAACAACTCAACCTTGAATGGTACTAGGGCCAGTATTGGATTAACAAAGCCTATGAATATATATATATATATATATATATATATATATATATATAGAGAGAGAGAGAAAAGACACACACAAAGCATCTTACCATCAAGTAGTTCACTTTAAAAGAGATAGGAACATAGCTATATGAATTAAGAAAGTAGTTACTGTTACTTACGATGCAGTTCTGGGTCCAGTTTCTTGAGATTTGGTGGAATAGTGGTAATTAAACATTTCACGGAGACTTCAGAATAACTAATTTCAAAGCCCGAGTCATTGGTAAGCATACTTAGAACTGGGAGGAGGAACGGGGTGAAAAAAAAAAAAAAGAAAGAAAAGATTTTTTAAACAAGGGTAGCAAAAAATTTATAATACAAAGTATTTTGTAATTAGCTTTTTACTGATTATTTCCAACAAATACATAAATGTATTTTTAGAATTATATAAATATTATAGTCAATGAAACATACCTTCATGAGGATCAGCAGCACGAAGATCTTCAGCAACTTTGTTCCCTAGAGCAGCTACTGCCTCTTCTGTAGACAAATACAGTGAAAAATAAGTAACACACTTTTTCTTTAATTTGACAATTATTTTAGTGATTGCTGAGGAATTCAAAAGAGTTATGTGATGGTCAAAAACCCCTTTTTAAGTGAGAAATTATGTACAAAAAGCTGTATATAGAAGTTCATTTCAAGTAGCTATCCAGGGTTATTATTTGAAATCTAAGGATGAAGACAATCTTCAAAGATTGTATTTCAGTTTTGATTAGATTAGTACATCAGATCAAGAACAGAGAAAAGATTGCAGAAATTTTCTTGCATATTGGAGGGAAACTAATAGATTAGTGAAAGGTTTTGTTGCTGGTTTTCGAATGACAGAAATTATAGCAAATATAAATAAATGAAATAATAATTGACCATTTTTCCAACTTACTTGTAGGAAGTGTTTTTAGAATAATAACCACATCAGCTACATTATGTCCAGCCATCATTGTTCCCTTCTTGTGAGATCCTACTTGACGGACTTCTTCAATTTGCTGGCAATACAAACAATTTAGAATTTTCGTGAAGTCACAATTAAAAGCAAAATAGCAGAAACTGTGCTGCTTACTACTTAAAAAAAAAAAAAAAAAAGGCCTTAACTTTTGTTATTCATAAAAACTAAGCCACCAATTCAACCTTGTTTCAACTAAGTCATAGCCTAAGATGTTATAGTAGTGTTGTACCAAGGTATTAAATTATTACTTTCATTGGAACATTTGCATGTTGTAAATTTTACAGAGCTTTAGTAGAAGAAAAAAAAAAAAAGACTTACTGCAGGCTCAAAAGAAGCAGTTACGATGAGATTATCAAGTACAGTCTGTATCTTAGTAACCAGAGCAAGTACAGCAGCTTGTTCTGTGGTGGAGGGTGTCAGATCCTGATTCCTCTTGAGTAAAGCCTACAAAAAAAAAAAAAAAAAAAAAAAAGGAAAAAATGTATATAACAGTAAACCAAAAATTTCAAATATTAAAATGTTTACATGTCAATGACATTCCATTTGAAAAATCAATATATTAAAAGAATATTTTTTTTGGCATCCAATTGATCTTACATTTACTGATCAATGATAATATGGCTGGATGCAGAATAGAGGAATAGTTATTAAACAGAAAAAAAAAGGAGAGTAAGAGGAATGAATTCAGTAGAAACTGAACACAAGAAAAAGAGAGAATCCCATCAACTTTTCCATTTCAAATGATGGCCAGCATCAGACTGGAAAGCATTATGATTTTTTTGCATGTAAGCTAAGAACTAAATTGATGTTCATTTGATAAAAATGGCTGAAGGGAAAAATTACAATTTGATCTTGAGTGGAGTGGAATATATATATGTAAATAATGAAAATAATAATTAAAAAAAAAGGTACAAATAAAATGTTCAAGAATACTTACTTCAGTGAAGGCTTTGTCATCAGATGCTGGCTTTGCTCGGGGGAATGCACTCTCACACTGAAAAGAACAAAATCCAGCTTAAATTAACATGGATGGTTTTTGTTAAATTACATTTCTTTTACGTACACACAAATTATTGGTACTAATGTTAACTTTAACATTACACTTAAAGTGAAATTTGCAATTACTTTTTACTAATGTATTATTAAAATCAGTGCTAATAATTGGTTATACTCTTCAAAATGAAACTGAAGAGGTTTAACCAAAGGAGCTAGTAAAGATGCAAAGAATGTTATATAAAACGAGACATACTTGAGCCAAATCGAATGGGACGTGAGGAACAAATGCCCGGAACCTGGAAAAGGAAGAATAAAAGGACATAAAAGTAAGAATCAGTAAATGGAGGAGAGACACTCATTTACACCATTTTCAATTAGTATTATATTTTACATAAGTGGACACTGAAATCAACACTGAGTGGTGGCAGTGCTTGTACATAATCTTCAGGCCATGTTTGTTAGCCTGACTATCAAAAGCATGTCAAAAGGGATATTATGGGTAACAAGGCCAGGCATTTCTGGCTTAATGGTTATGGGGTAGGTGGCAATGATTATGTTTCAAGTTCTCCAAATGCGAGTGTGCTTATTTGTAGCTACTATTGCATTGCTTGTTAACTTGCCATTTATAATTATTTTGTATTAATTCATTAATTGTGGGTTATGTGACATGGTCCTCAATGTTAACTGTTAAATCAGATGTATAATAAATTTAATAGGCGCCACACACTGTCTGTGTTCCTTCTAATTTTTTTTACTACCTATCTGGACAGAGTTGGGTTCCAGCTAAGAGAGGGCAGAAAAGGAATGTGGGATTGCTTGGAAACAAAAAGAACAACCTCCTAACAAAGTAAGTAAGAATCGGTCACCTATACTCATGTGACATGGGTCGACAAGTGGGATTTTGATATTGTAATTTTAGTTTCCTGATGACCCCCAATGACAGTTTGCGAGAAAAATAGTTTCTCATGTGATTGTGAGATAAGAGACACACACAAACCTATTCCATTACTTGTCTATGGAATAAGGAAATTTCATCCTGGAGATCTTGGATGTACTTGACTTGTAAAGAATAAAAGAATATTGTACCCAAATAAATACAAAGAAAACATCTTATGTTCATCTTGGAGGCAATCCAAGTAACCAAGGGGAAACAGAACACACATTATTGCTGAATTCCATATTTCACATTGCGGAAGAAAGAACAACCAACTTTTGTGAACATTTTACAGCAACTTTGTCATTATGAACATTCGAACACCCAACATTCCTGAAACACAAACATTTGAACTGACATCTAATATCAGTTAAGTATTCTTTTATTAATTGTAGGTCTGTCACTCCATATTTTCCCCATATTTTGTTACAGAAAATTTATTTACAAATGTTAATCTTGTGCTTCTTGTTTGTTGGTACATGTTGGTGTGTTCCTATCTGAGCGAACTCACCCCTTTTTTTTTTAAATCTTGGAGTCCATACCTTTATATGTTGTGAATTCGTAAGTTATAATTTACTTGTGTTTATGTGTGTATTCATAGTTTATTAAATTGTTATTTCATTTGGAGCAGGGGCTGGTTATCTTATTTGTTTAAAGTAATGGCTTTGTCTGTACTGTATTTAGTGCATATTTTCACATTTTTCTTTGTGATTGACATTACTAAAATAATATGAAGCAACTTACAAGTATTAAACACTTCTCTGTTGATAAAAACACAAAAACCATTAGAGAAAACATTTACAATTTTATATTTCTTTTACAGATTAAAAAAATGTAATGAGAGAGAGAATGATCTGCAAAATTATAATTCAGCTTATTCACGTTTGTTCCTGAAAACTAAGGTTTACTCTTAAGTTGGCCAATCTGCCACTGAAAGTGCTACATTCCAGACGAATTCTAACAGTATCAGAAAGCCAATAAATTTAATTGTTGTAATTAGCAATATGCTGAAATATCAATCTGGTTGGTTATCTGATGTTGTATGTGTAAAGAATTTTTTTTACATTAAAATATCTGGTAAAAAATTCCACTGTTTTAGAAGAATAAATATCTGAATTAATTAAATCAGATTTTGGAAAATATTACATTTGTTTGCAAGCCAAGTTTTTTCTCTCCTGCCAAAAAGTTGATAGGTCAAAACAGTAAGTGTAAAACCATCTTTTCATCAATAAATATTCACTTTAGATATAAGGTATATTTGTATGAAAATATGGTAGCACCAATTCTCCGCAAAGAAAGGGGGAGGAAAAAAAAAAAAAAAAAAAAATATGGCCACACTGTTGGCTTCAGTGATGCCAAAAGTATGGCCAAGATAAACTGAAGGCACTTTCATACCCTAACCTCACCAAGAAGCTGTACAAATACTGCTGGACCATGTGAACTCAAAAAAAAACAAAAAAACTTCAATTCAGTTCACAGTAGAAGTACCAACTAGCCCTCCCGAATTTACACAAAGAATGGGCTTAAGTCATATATATAAAAAAAAAACCCCAAAAAAACCACATAAGTGGCAACCCAGACACTTACCAATGGGAAGTAATCAGCATTTAGTGTACTCATCAGAATAATTTGACACTGCAAACATCAGTATCTGCAGGTAGAAGTAGAAAGGTCGAGGAGTCTGCTCATTGGAAAAAGAGCAAGATCTGCAACCCATACAACATAAGGACAATACTCAGAAGCAAGAAAAGCACCAAGAAGAAGATCATGGTTTCACCTAGTATTTCGTAAGGCAGAAAAGCACTGATGCTAGCTTTAAGCCAAGAAGAAAAGCTCAAAAGGTACAATTTTCAATAGGAAGGTTAAAAATATCAGTCCAAGTGAAAGTCACAAAATGGATCCCAATCAGCACAATGGTAACATCTAGAAATTTTGTGAATAGAAGGTTCCTGTTTAATAGAAGAGTCAAAAAGATACTACAAAGACGTGACGCTTGACAAAAACTAGGTTGATAAGAATTATTAGGGAAATCCACTATATCAACAATGGAAAAATTAAATGTCTGAACATCAGTACATTAGAATCTTTAAGCCACATGATAAGCATCACCAAAGACTAGATGTGCATCTTAATAAAAGAAACGACTTTTTCATTTTCATCTTCACACCTTGAAACCACACTGAAATTTTTATGAAACCAAAGTCATTCATTTTTTTTTTTTTAAAGTGCTATCACTACTGAGTGACCATATCCAAAGAAACACTATTGAAAAAGAATTTCAGATGTTAATGTAGTTTAAATTCGAAAGACTGTCTTAAAATTCCTTAGCAGACGTTAATTCTGAGTGACAAAACGTAGATGTTGTATTTCACGTATTGTTTTGCTGTTTGTAAACTAAATTCCTCTTCTGTCACCGTCTTTAAATAAACTCCATCTCAAATTTCTTTGTTCCAGTCCTATGAAAAAATGTGATTCCTCGTTAATTTCTTTTGCCAGCTTAAAATAAATATATAGCTTTCATACGAGACTCTTTTTTTTTTTTTTAGACGCCAATGAGATCATTTTTTTTTAACCACAGCCCCCCATCTCAAATCACATCTCCTGTTATATAATAATCCTTCCATCTGGAGAACTTTTTTTTGCGATTTCCGCAGTTTTATTTGGGCCCAAGCCTCAATGAGAATTCTCCAATTTTCTCCTTCTTCTCTAAATCCTCTTTTAATCTCTCTTAGGTCAAGAATATGCCTTGGCATACTGTCCACCTCAACATTGTTTTTTGACTGTGCTCAATAAAATTCCTCTTGTCCATTTTGTCAAAAAGCAAAAAGTTGGCTTGACCCAAACCTCCTCTCCAATCTGTATAGATTCAAAACTTCAAGTCAGGCGTTTAAACATCGCAAAAATCTAGGATGTCTCCATTGGTGTGTGTAAACTGCTCTGTGTGGCACAGTGTCTTCAAGTTAGCCAGATTTAGGCACATATTATACCAAAATACCGCTCTGCAGGCAATATCCCTCCTCTTTTTTTGACTTTTATAGTTCGGGTGGTTTTTGATTAAACGATACCATTTCCAGAGGCCTGTATGCTTCCTATAATACTGCCCAGTGTTCCAATTATCCAACATTTTGAAAAACTTCCCGAAATTGCTGCCCCATTGTCCATGAAAAAAATCTTCAACTGGTCCAAAAAAAAAAAAAAAAAAAATAATAAATCATAATTTCGACAGCCAGCTGCTCAAAGCAATCTCCTCCAAATGGCTTAAAAAAAGGGCCACAATCAACTATGGTCAGGTACATTTCACCTCTATAATGCATCACATCGATTTTAATCTGGTCCAATTTGAATCTTTTTAATCTCTCCATAAATACAGAAACATTTGTAAAGGTGATTGATTGACAACAATGCAAATTCTAACCACATTCTGTACAGTATCTCTTGACACCTCCGGGTAGACTTTCCATACTAGATATAGTGTTCTATCCACTCCTACATGATGCAGTCCGTGCAACTCCTTGACCTCATCTTGGCCTGCATGGCACGTTGCTGTAATAGCTTTCTCTTTTTCAACACTATCCACTTTTGTTGTTTCACTATCCACTATGTCTTTTTTCGATTTCTTCTGCTCTTCTCTTCAAATAACTGCAGGCGATTCAGAATCCAGCTATTGGGTAAAAACCATTTTTCTGCAGGCAGAGAACAGTTCATGTCTGCTCATTTCCTCATGCAGGTCATTCCCTCTTGCAAATACCAGATGTCCTGCTTTATCCATATGAAGCTGAAGACCCAACGCTGCTCCTCCTAATGATTCTGGTGGCTTTGCTGTTAAGCCAAAGTTGTTAAGATGATTTACAAGGTCTGCCGCTGGTACCACTGTTTCATCCACTAGTATATCGTCAATATACGAATCAGTGTTTTTTTCCGATGTGTTCCTCTTTTGTTAGCACTTTTTAAAGGATTTTCGACATAATTTTCGGGGCTACATTTAGTCCGAAACCCAACCTCGTTAAACAATAGGTCTGTCCCTCGTATCGAACTAACTGGTACTTCCACAGATGTCTCACGACATGGATTTGCAAATATGCAGACCTTAGATCAACAAACAATTTTTGCCTCCACTTCCTCATTGTTTCTCTACAAACGTCAATTGCATCCCCACCAGACGACAGACGCTAATGAGATCATTTTTTTTTTAACCACAGTTAAAAAATTAAATGGTTCATTAAGAGTAAGAGAAAAAAATCCCTAAGTTTTTAGGAAATCCTGGAAAACTGGTCTTAAAGAGAGAATTAGAAAACTCAAATTTTCTGCCAGAGATTTGAGAGAATTTTTTTTTAACCAGAGAAAAAGAGAGAGAGAGAAAAG